AAACTTCCCTAAAATTTTTACTATTTTTGGAGTTGATTTACTGTGCCCAATTGATTTTACAAAATCGTGTATGTCAGCAGATTTTCAGAAACTGTATATCTGTGTTCAAACATTTATTTCTCTCAAATGAGAAATTATTTTTCAGAAATTCTTTCTCTAACATGTTAATATACATGTCTAAAACCATTCCACAAAATTTCATATTTTTTGGAGCTGTTTTACTATTTTTAATTGATTTTACAAAGCTAAATGAATAATAATCGGAGATTTGTTCTTCATCTTTCATTTGAGCGGCTTCAAGATCGCCCCTCAAAGTTTGGAGGCGAATTCGCTTCACCCGCTCGACACCTTTGTAGATGGTCGCAAGGATTTCCCATGCTTCCTTGCTTGTCGTTGCTTCGGCAACTCTCTCAAAGGTAGACTCGTCCAACCCTTGATAGAGTAGAAAACGAGCCTTGCTATCCTTCTTTCTTTGTTCTCTGAGAGCCTTCTTCTCTTCGGCGGTATAGGTGGCTTCTACTTCTGGTGTAGGTTCCGTGAACCCATCAATGATCAGCTCCCACAACTCTTGAGAACCAAATAAGGCTCTCATTTGGATTGACCAACTCTCATAGTTATCTTTCAATAATTTGGGCACTTGAGGATTGACAAGATTATTTGTGGTAGCCATGAGAAGAAGAGTGAATAGGAAAATTGGATAAAGTGGCTCTGATACCACTGATGACTCTTAAGTTTACGAACTTAGAACTCTTTCAAATGAAGAACTCACTTATATTTCTTCAATTTTCTCTCTTCATATCAAACAAGGATTACAATAGCCCTTTATATAGGCTTCAAAAACAAAAACGTCTAGGCATACCAATAGTCACAAATTAAACTCCTATTTTAATGCCATAAAGATAAATGTCATAAATGAGTAAGTTACTCTTATTCTTCCATAACCTATGTCTCTTCACCTTCTAAACTTATGACCCTTGCACTTCTAAAACTCATTTATTCTAGCATTTTAATTTGATATTCCAACACGCCCCTTCAAATCAAAATGTCTTTATGCCAAGCATGTCTCTTAGCCTCATGAAAGTTTCACCTGATAATGGCTTGGTGAATATGTCTGCCACTTGTTCAGTGGTGTGACAATGCTTCAGTTCAATGGTGAGAAAATGAAACCGTGTATCTATGTGTTTGCTCCTCCCATGATGTACTGGGTTCTTTGCAAGCTGGATGGCTGATTTGTTGTCCACAAAAATTACAGTCGAGTCTTCTTGTGGATGATCCAACTCCTTTAATATGTTTCGCAACCAAATTGCTTCACATACTGTAGATGCAGCCGCCACATACTCTGCTTCACATGAAGATAAAGCTACAACTCCTTGCTTCTTTGAGGTCCATGAAAATGCAGTTGACCCAAGATAGAAAACATAGCCTGTGGTGCTTTTTCTCTCATCTTGATCACCTCCCCAGTCACTATCTGAGTAACCAACTAGTTGTGCATTTTCATCATATGCATAGAAGAGACCCAGGTTGAGTGTGCCTTTGATATACCTTAGTATCCTCTTCGCAGCTAGCCAGTGAGATTCATTCGGTGTCTCCATATAGCGACTCACAAGTCCAACTCCATAAGTAATATCGGGCCTTGTGATCGTCAAGTATCTCAGGCTGCCAACTAGACTTTTGAAAAGAGTTGAATCCACAAAATGTCCGTCTTCTTCTCTTGATAGCTTCATTCCGATGGCTACTGGGGTGTTTACAGGGTTGCATTCATTCATCTTGAACTTCTCTAAGATCTCCTTCATGTACTTCTTCTGGGATATAAAAATCCCCTCTTGTTGCTGCTTCACTTCAATGCCAAGAAAATAGGACATTAATCCATTGTCCGTCATCTCAAATTCATTGAACATTGCCGCCTTGAATTCAGCAAGCATCTCGGTACTGCTTCCTGTGTACAATAAATCATCAACATAAAGACAAATTATTAGAAATTCGCCTCTATGGTTCCTCTTCATGTAGATGGCGTGTTCATAGGGACATTTAATGAAGCCGTTTTGATGAAGATAGCCATCAATTCGGGCGTTCCACGCCCGTGGTGCCTGCTTTAAGCCATACAAGGCTTTCTTCAAATGGTACACTTTGTCTTCTTGCCCTTTCATAAGAAAGCCTTCTGGTTGTTACACGTACACCTCTTCCTCAAGAACGCCATTGAGAAATGCTGACTTGACATCCAAATGATATATATTCCACCTGTGATGAGCTGCAAGTGAAATTAATAGTCTCACCGTATCCAGTCGAGCAACCGGAGCAAAGACTTCTTCATAGTCGATGTCGTACTTTTGTTTGTAACCTTTCGCTACAAGCCTCGCCTTGTACCGATCAACTTCACCATTTGTTGTGCGCTTGATCTTGTACACCCACTTGACCCCTATTGCCTTGTGATTTTGTGGAAGAGTTGTCAACTCCCAAGTGTCATTCTTTTGGATGGCGTGGATCTCCTCCTCCATTACTGTTCGCCAATAATCTTCTTTTACAGCTTCTTGAAAGGTGAGAGGTTCATGATCAGCATATAAGCAGAAAAGATTTGACTCTTCGTCTTCTTCTATCTTCTCATAGATCTCCCTGAGGCTTCTCATTTTGATGGGACCTCGTTGCATGGTAGATTCGCTGCTACTACTTTCCCCAGAAGATGGAGAACCTCTTGCAGGAGAGGGTGTAGAGTGTGGAGGAGATGGTGGTGTACCTAGTGATGGTTCCTCATGCAGAGACTCATCGGGTTCATTCACCACTGGTTGATCTTCATTGCTCCAGTTCCATGCTTCTTCTTCATTAAAGACAATGTCTCTACTAACAACTAGTTTCTTGGTTAGTGGATTGTAGAGCTTGTATGCCTTCGACTCCTCGCTATATCCGATGAAAATGCATTTTTCACCGCGATTGTCAAGCTTCTTCCTTTTGACTTCAGGTACTTGAGCATATGCAACACAACCAAAAATTCGTAGGTGTGCCACACTAGGCGTGTAACCGCTCCATGCCTCTTGAGGTGTCTTGTTCTTCACTATCTTTGTGGGGCATCGGTTGAGCAAATAAGCTGAGCACGCCACGACTTCTGCCCAGAACTGCTTTGGCAATCCCTTTTCTTTGAGCATGGTTCTTGTCATGTCGAGGATGGTCCGGTTTTTTCTTTCTGCAATGCCATTTTGCTGTGGTGTGTAGGCAGTAGTAAACTGTCTCTTTATACCTTGCTCCCTACAATATTCTTGAAACATATTTGAGGTGTACTCACCACCTCGGTCAGATCGAAGAATTTTTAGCTTGTGGCCGCTCTCTGCTTCAACTAAAGCTTTAAAATGTTTGAATGTAGTAAAGGCAGCAGATTTTTCTTTAAGAGTGTACACCCACAACTTTCTACTGAAGTCATCAATGAAAGTTATAAAATATCTATTACCTCCCAAAGAGACGGGATCGATCGGTCCGCAGATGTCGGTGTGAACAAGTTGCAATGGTACACTTGCTCTCCATGATTTTCCACTGGGAAAAGGAAGTCGCGGTTGCTTGCCGATTACACAACCTTCACAAATATGATTCGGTGGATCAATTGTTGGTAGACCTCGTACCATGCCAGCTGTAGACAACAACTTCAAACCGCTGAAGTTTAGATGGCCGAAGCGAAGATGCCACCTCCATGACTCATTCTCCATGAGTCCTTGAAAACACTTGTCGACTTTTGTGTTTAGATGCAAGGGAAACATGCGGTTCCTTGTCATCTTAACACAAGCTATGAGGCCTCCATTTGTATTTTTCAACCAAAGATGGTTGTTCTCCATATATACTTTGTATCCCTTTCCGAGTAATTGACCGATGCTAAGAATATTACTTTTCATGTTAGGAATATAGTAAACATCGGAAATATACTCGGGCTTACCATCCTTTTGGTAGATCTTAATCTTCCCTTTGCCTTCAACCGGGAGTTTTGAAGAATCTCCGAGGCTCACACTTCCATGAACTCCTTCTGCGAGTTCCATGAAAAGTTCTTTCTTCCCGCACATGTGGTTGCTAGCACCCGAGTCAAGGTACCAAGCATCATTCTCAACACTTGAATCATCATTAGCAAGAAGAAGCGTAGAGTTGTTACCCACATCATTTGTTGCTTCGGCAAGATTGGTTTGGTCTTCAGTTTTGTGCCAACAATTTGAAGCATAGTGCCCAAACTTGTGACAGTTATAGCACTGAACATTCTTGTTGCTTCCACGCCCAGGTGTGGATCTTCCACGATTGCTTCGTCCTCGTCCTCTAAAGCTTTGGGTCTCCACTTGATTTTGAGTGGTTTGTTGTTGGGGACCACGTCCTCTGCCTCTACCACGACCACGACCATGACCTCTTGCTTATGAGCCTTGATTACTTAGAGTCAATGTTGACTCTAGTACTTGCTCCAAAACTATGGAACTAGCCTTCTTTTGCATTCGTTGTTCATGAACTTGGAGAGATCCCAAGAGCTCCTCTATTGAGATATCCTCCAAATTCTTTGACTCCTCAATTGCCGCCACCACGTGCTCGAATTTTGATGTGAGGGATCGGAGCAACTTCTCCATCACTCGAATGTCCTCCATCTTCTCTCCATTTCTCCTTATTTTATTCACAATTAGAAGTAATCGTGAATAATATTCGGAGATTTGTTCTTCATCTTTCATTTGAGCGGTTTCAAGATCGCCCCTCAAAGTTTGGAGGCGAATTCGCTTCACCCGCTCGACACCTTTGTAGATGGTCGCAAGGATTTCCCATGCTTCCTTGCTTGTCGTTGCTTCTGTTGGTCTTCTTGTTTTGATGAAAATAAGGCTCTCATTTGGATTGACCAACTCTCATAGTTATCTTTCAATAATTTTGGCACTTGAGGATTGACAAGATTATTTGTGGTAGCCATGAGAAGAAGAGAGAATGGGAAAATTGGATCAAGTGGCTCTGATACCACTGATGACTCTTAAGTTTACGAACTTAGAACTCTTTCAAATGAAGAACTCACTTATTTTTCTTCAATTTTCTCTCTTCATATCAAACAAGGATTACAATAGCCCTTTATATAGGCTTCAAAAACAAAAACGTCTAGGCATACCAATAGTCACAAATTAAACTCCTATTTTAATGCCATAAAGATAAATGTCATAAATGAGTAAGTTACTCTTATTCTTCCATAACCTATGTCTCTTCACCTTCTAAACTTATGACCCTTGCACTTCTAAAACTCATTTATTCTAGCATTTTAATTTGATATTCCAACACTTTTCGTGTTGGAAATGATATCTCATGTGAAACAATGGGAGTTAGAGATGTCAGAATCACTATGTTTTATGGGATCACCCAAGTCATTCATGATGTCCGTCATATACCTGGTTTGTGCAAGAGCCTTCTCTCACTTCGAAAGTTCAACGAAGATGGTTACAATACAGTGCAAAAAAAGGATGCATGAAGATAGTCAAAGGAGCAATGATAGTAGCGAAGGGAGAGTTATCTCAAGGTATATACAAGTTCTTTGGAGAGACTATTGTTAGTGATGCTATGGTGGCAAATGCCATGACAGATTATGTAACAACATGGCACAAGCTTTTAGGACACATGAGCGAGCATGGCCTTAAAGTACTCTGTGATCGACACTTACTTCCTGGTTTGAAATATGTTGATCTAGAT